CTTTCTTGCCGTGATACTGGTTCTAAGTCTCCTTATTGCGACCATCTTCCTCCACATTTGGGTCAACGTGTTTTCCATTCCTAGTAGGGATTTCGTCTCCAACCTTATCCTTATGTCCGTCATTGGCCATCTATTCTTCTTTCTTTCCCACAGACGGCGCCAAATTGTGTGGGTGATTTTCTGACCACACTGCCAAACAAGTACCCAGTTGGAGAGCACTGGCAGAATAGATTAAGCCCGAATGACCTGCAACAGAAATAAGAGTTTCCGACGGTGGCTCGTCCACCCGGGGCACTCCGACGATCAATTCAGTACTCAATATCTCTCAAAGATAACCAATAGTGTTTAACTCACTAGATAGAGCATAAAAGACATACCTTAGACCCATGGAGGTACCTTTCTTTTATAGCCAACACAATCCTAGTCTCAATAGAAGCTTAGCTCTAATAGACTTAGGATTACTACTAATCTTGGACTCCCAGTTGAATTAGGATAAACTTTCTAAGAGTTTTATCTTTACCCAAACTGAAATCTTCTCTCACTCTAGGACTCTTGTCCCTTATCCGCTTATCTCGGATTCCAGTATCTTTGCAGATAACCTCGGCCTAACCGAGATGATCTCAGCGTCATGATCAGGACACGTGACACCTCGGCTGACACTTCGGTGTCACCTCGGCCACGTGTTGTCATTCAAAAATTATATCCCCACACAACTTATTTTTAAATTAGCATTTAAAATTTTATCAAACAGTTTTTCAATTTAAAAAATCAGCATTTAGTTTTCAATACTTAACTTTTAGTTTTCAACTTTATCAACTTATTTTTAAATTAGCATTTAAAATTTTATCAAACAGTTTTTCAATTTAAAAAATCAGCAATTAGTTTTCAATACTTAACTTTTAGTTTTCAACTTTATCAAACACCACCTTAGTGTATGCCTAACTCATGAACCATTTAATCCATTGATTTATTTGGTTATTAAATTGGCGAATACACATCTGTTGGTATTTGGTTTTTATAATAAAATGGGTTAATTACACCAAAACCCCATCAACTATTAACAATATTACTTTGTCTTCTCTCATCAATGAATTTCGTACATATTGCTGTCATTAACTATAAAATGTAACACTTTCACCCCCTCTAGACCACTTCCAAAAGAAGTGTATTTGTATAATTTTCATAGTTGAGGGAGTCAATATGTACAAGTTCATAGATGACGGAGAGAAAACGATATTCATTAATAGTTGATCGGGTCTTGATGTGATTAACCCTAGCAAAAATAAAAAAATATATATACATGTATATGCATATTTATTTTAAAAAAAATTAAACTTGGGTAAAAAATTATATATTTATATTTAAAATTATTGTCAATTAAAGCTATCTAATATTGGGTTGCCTATAGGGCTTATTCTAGCCCTACTTTTCACTTGATCTAAAAATTTGATTGGTTAATTAGTAAAAACAATTGATAATAATCAATTTAAATTTTATGTTTTAACTTACATCCTAATTTTTTAGGTTGTGACAGTATGAGTTAATTTGAGAGTGTTAGTATTGGATTAAACACAAAAGTAATTTAGAAGTCGAATGGATAAATTTTTATGCCAATAATCTAAATTTTAGAAAATTGTTTTACATGGGTATGGGATCCGCAATTTTGTAGACCCCACACCCATGTGAGACATTTGGTCATTTGTTTGGTAGAAAATTTGGGACATATAGCATTTTCCTTTAAAAAAATAGATGTGTATATCATTTCTCTTCTGATTTTAATACGCAGTTTTCTTTTTCAAAAATACGGACATCGTTTGCTAAGTTTGGTGGCATTTCAATACTATAATTAAAAAGGAACATCAATTTTGGAGTCCTGAAGCTATTGTCTTAGAAAAGTTTTTCAATTTTTCCTAAAATGACCTTAACTTCGTAAATAATTATATTATTTTTCTACTTATCAGTTTGTAATTAAGGGTAAAATAATAAATTACAACCAATCCCACTTCTCATGATTCCAACCAATCTCACCTCCCACCTTTTCAAACTGCTATGCAGTTCTAAACCGTTTCAACATCTTCACCCCTCTCTCTAGTTATTGTTATTGTAAAATCTTCCCTTTCATTTGTTCAATGATTTTTTATTTTTATTTTTTGTTGGGAGAAATACTATTCAAGAACATTGCAATCTTATGGTTCTCTTCCAACTTTGTTGAGTGGTTATCCGAAGTACATATCTACTGCTATTGTTAATTATATTTTTATTTTCTTCAATAAAAAGTTTCATTATGTAATTAGGTTCTTTGGAGAAAAAAAAAACACTGATTGAGAACAATATTATGTATTTTTTTTCTTCATTAAAAAGTTTCATTCTATGTGTTTTTGAAAGAAAAAAAAAATCAGTGTTCATAGTTTTGTGTGTATGTGTGTGTTTTTGAAAAAAAAAAAATCAGTATTTAATTAAATTAATTTTTAGATTGTGTGTGTTTTTGAAAAAAAAAAAATCAGTATTTAATTAAATTAATTTTTAGATTCTTAATATTTATAAGTGTTTTTAATTGAACACTTGACACCATCACATGCGTGTGCAATTTTTTACGGACTTAAATAGTTTTGGATTTTTTCTTATTTCACTTTTTAAGCTATTGTTTCTATTTGTGTATAAATTCAGTTTTTTTTTTTTTTTTTTAAATTCGATTTGTTTGTTTGTTTACTTTTGTGAGAACACTATTTTGTATTTTTTTTTCTTCATTAAAAAGTTTCATTGTTTGTGTGTTTTTCAAAAAAATAAAATAAAAATTAGTGTTCTTAATTTTGTGTGTTTGTTTTTGAAAAAAATCACTATTTTATGTATTTTCATTAATTAATTTTTAGGTTCTTAATTTTTATAAGTGTTTTTAATTGAACACTATGACACCATCACATCTGTGCAATTTTTTAGAGACTTAAATAGTTTTGGAATTTTTCCTATTTCACTTTTTAAGCTATTGTTTCTTTTTGTGCATAAATTCAGTTTTTTTTTTTAATTGGATTTGTTTGTTTGTTTATTTACTTTTGCGAGAACATTATTATGTATTTTTTTCTTCACTAAAAAGTTTTATTTTGTGTGTGTTTTTGCCAAAAAAAAAAAAATGATCTTACAGTAAATAGAGAGAGGGGTGAAGATGTTGAAACTGTTACAAACTGCATAGCAGTTTGAAAACGCGGGAGGTGAGATTGGTTGGAATCATGAGAAGCGGGATTGGTTGTAATTTATTGTTTTACCCTTAATTACAAACTGATAGGTATACAAATAATATTATTTAAAAAGTTAAGGTCATTTTAGGAGAAATTGAAATTTTTTTCTAAGATAATGGCTTTAGGATTCCAAAACTCCTATTCCTTTTTAATAATAAATATCGAGATTTAGGTACTGGCCATTAAAATAGTCTAACACATTTTTAATCAAATACACAATAAAAAATATAGGCCTATATGTTAGAGTTAAGTTGTTTTATATACATATTCAGTGTTTAGTATATTAGTTCTATTTTTTTAAAAATAAAATAATTAAAAAAATATAAATAATCAAAAATTAAAAATGATTTTTGGTGATCAAATTAAGAAAATGGCTTCAGGATTTGCTAAATGTTCAATTGGTCTAACATCTAAAAAATTAGTAAATATAATTAACTAATATTCAATGAGATTGTTTTAGAGGTTATACCTAGTAGCCTAGCAGGATCAAAATCATCAAAATCTTATTTGAGGAGTGGGTTGAAGATTGAGATTACTGATACTCTATTTTTTTTCTATTTTTTTAATATTTATTCTTCAATTTTGATTAATTAAATTTTAGAAAATAGATAAGGTAATTAATTTTACATAATAGATATGAAATAATTGGTAAATTGAAAAACTAAAATTACGAAATTCATCAAGACGAAATATATTTATATTTTATCGTAAATATAATTATTGTATGAGAATTAATTAATGTAAATAAATTTTCTTTTATATTATAAATAAAGTTTTTGTTATAATTTAATTTTAAAAATAATTTTTAATTATTTATTTGAAACCATGCATAGCACAGGTATTATGCTAGTATAATATTATAATAATATAATAAAACTTAATAAGTTCCGATCATTATATTGAAGATCAAATACATGACATAATTTATACTAGCCTCCTAATGATGTGTTGGTTTCTTTGTTGAGTTGGTTGTTGGGTTTGTTGTTAGATTATAATTGTTCAAAGAAAAAAAAAAAAAAAAACACCCAAATCCAACTTCCCAACGGAGCTTATGTTCACGAGGCTTTTCCCAATATAAGCCATTTTTGTATTGTATTTCCAAAACTAGGCCAACTTCTGACGGTATTCCAAAACTAAGTTAAAGCGCCATTACTATTCGCGCTTTTACTGTTAGGAGCGCAAAAGTAGATGAACAGGAAAATCGCTATTACAAATAGCGACTTTGATTAAGAAGTCGCTATTACAAATAGCGCTTCTAGTGTTTGTTTTTCTGCGGATAAAAACGCTTTTTCTAACAGCGCTTTTTGCAAAATTGCCCAAAAATGCTATTTCTAATAGCGATTTTAACAAAAAAATTTCCCCAGAAAAAACGCTATCTCTAATAGCGATTTCAGTTCAAATTTTGTTGCCAAAAAAACGCTATTTCTAATAGCGATTTCATTTAAATGAAATCGCTTTTTAGATCAGCGTTTTCAAAGTCCTCATATATATGAATGAACCCCCCCTCATTTGCATACGTTTTTCAGATTTTCAGACTTAGGTTTTTGGCTCTCTGCTCTCTGCTCTCGCTCGCTCTCTTTCTCTCTGCTCTCGCTCCTCCATCTCAGCTCGCTCTCGCTCTCTGTCTCTGCTCTCTCTCTCTCCGTGGTATGACATTAACCCTAATTTTATGTATTTAGTTTTTGTTCTGATTAAAGTCATAATCTATAATCTGTTAAGCTATAATCTATAAGTTGTTTTAACAGCTACACCAAACGGTGCCAATATGTGCGCCACCTCATATCTCTCTCTCTCTCTCCACCACGACCACAGCGGCAACGTTGCCTCTTCCTTTTCGTCGACACCCACACTCCTCACCACCATCGCTGCTCTTCCCTCCGTAGCGACCCTTCGTCTACATCTCGATCGCAACAACGGCGGACACAACATTGTGAACGGTGAACACACACACACACACACACACACACACATATATATATATATATATATATATGCTTCAGTTTTCAAGATCGTTAAACTATTTGAAAAGCTTTGATAAAAATTTATCTTTGTATGGAATGAGAACCGCAAGATTTTACCTAATTTGTCATCTATGATTGAATCTCCAAATTCATAGAAAAACTATTGTTCTCATACAGCAAAAAGCCCTAATTTTTCACACCCCTAAAGCTTATACTTAGAGGACATGTTTGTTTGGGTGGACATGAGCTTGAGATTGGACTAATAGTCTAATAAAATTATTAATCCGATGTTTGGTTAAACAATTGAAGGACAGATTAATTATTTTGAACTTGACTATTAGTTAAGATAAGATACATAGTCCAACGGATTCGTTGTCCTAAGACTATTAGTCATGGGAATGCTAATCCAGTCTGTCCAAACAGACATGGCCAGAGAGATTTCTTTTTCCTTCAGTTTGGGTATTGGATTACAATTTTTTTGTTATAGGTTTGTGAATAATATGGAACTCTTTTTGATCACGGAAGTTACCTGAATTTTTATAATATGGTTTCGTACCTTCTAGCCATGGTGTTTCAAGAGATTATGTTGATTAGGTTATACTACTCTTTCTTTTTTGGTCTACAAAAGATGCTGATGCTGATGCTGATGTGTTTTTATCTTTATTAATTAATCTTTTGTGATTAGATCATTATTGTTGAATAATTCTTCACATCATTATTGCAACACATTGGTTATGAGCTAAGGTCTAAACTGTTATAGTGAATACGAAAGTTATTGAAAAGTTCATTGTGATTTTCGGTTGGGAATGCACATTTTGAAACATGGTAGATTTGTATTCTAATTCCTTAAATTTCGTGAAAAAAAAAATAATAATAATAAAAATTGCCCCATTTCTTTCCTCACTCAGTTCTTTTTAAAAAGTATTTATGCAAGTAATGGATTGATAATAAAATGCAATTGACTACTCATATAAAATTCATGAGGAGCAGATTGAGGGAAGGCCTATAACATATCAAATACTAAATTTTCTCAGGGAAAAATTTGGGATTCGTCCATTAAACTTGCGCGGGAAACATGTTGGGATTCAAACACAACTTATTCAGGAAAGGCTCATATCATTTCAAAGAGTAAACTTGAATCCTAATATGTGCTCTATATTGCTGCTTGCTAGCTGTTTCTCATGTAGTGTAGCTGCAGTAATATTAAATTTTTCAGTAGTCTTTACTGAGCATATAATTCATTAACTTTTCTTCATTATTTTTAACCATTGCAGGAAGATAAGGCCAATGCTATTTCCCATATGAACACCATTGTCAATTCAATCAAAGGAGATCCAGTTTTGGTTAGTTTTCTCTTTTGCCCTGTCATGAGTGCTATCTCCTGATATTTTGCTTATAACTTAATCTATTTAACTGCCACTAATGTGAATAATGTTGATGTTCGAGCACTAACATCTTAAACTAAGTTTGGCTTAGTATTTATTTTGTAAGAGTATTGTTGATTTTGAGTTATGATAGCCTTAACACATCATTGTCGTGTTCTCCATATGGTTAAGAATTAGCAGCTATAGATTTAATTGCCATTATGCTTTCTGATTTAATTGCTATTAACACATCATTGTCGTGTTCTCCATATGGTTAAGAATTAGCCTTAATCTGATTTTTATTTATTTTTACTTCAACCTTCAACCAATTTGTTGTTTCTCCAAACTTTTAAGCAACTCTGTAGCAATTATTAATATAGAGATATGAACCACATTTAATTAAGTGATTTTAAAATAAATATTTTAAGATAAATTACACTGATCTCTTTTAAAATTTGAAGAAATACAGTAAGTTGTATAATTTTGATATAATTATATTGATATGTTTTAGTAAAATTAAATAGACCAAAACTAATACAAATGATATGAAAACACAACGATACACAATATAAAATATATATTTCAATATAAAAGCAATGACTACATTATTTTTTTTATTTATACGAGTAACAAATTTACGATAAAAAAGAAGCCAAATATTATCTGAACTAAAACCTTAAAAAAACTCAATATAATTATGTCAAATTTAAGAACTTATTGTATATATATATTAAATCTTAAAGGAGGTGAATGTACCTAATATTTTAAATTCGAATACTATTCGATTCATTTGTATATATATGTAGGTGACGAACAAGAAGGCATTGAGGCCTAGACGTGATGCCGATGTGTTTTGGGTGCATTGCCGACATGTTTTGGATTAACATTTTTGTACCGTCTTGAAGATCATGCTTCTCGGCTTAATTTTCATTTGTACTTGTATACGTCGGCTTGAGAAGCCTTTTGGTCAAGATGTGTTTTGTATCTCATTTCCTTATTGTATTTAAGTTGTAAGACTTTATAAAGACGTATGTCATTTCATTTGACCTATGCACTGCTCTTATGGACCACTTGTAGCTTGAATTTTTGCTTCCGCATTTGTGAGCCCCCTATATAAATACTCTGATTGTGTGTGAATCTTGTAAGTTGGCCTTCGGTAATTACGGATTATTGGCCATCACAGCACCAAACTACTAGGGGCGGTTTGGGGTCGTGACAATTTTAAATTCGAATACTATTCGATTCATTTGAAAAGTCTTGTTGGAAGACATGTTAACAATATTTAAAAATATTTGCTGAACTTATTCTTAAGAATTACGATATTATTTATGACTCATGTTAACATGTGTCTCAATTACACTAATTAGTTGTATTTTATTCTAGTGTTTTGAAATTTGTTTGATTATTATTTGGGACAATTAAAAAAAAACAAAAAAAAAACAACTAAAGTTTTAGTCATGTAACAAAAGAAATTTTGAATTTTGAATTTTGTCAATTTAAAACATAATCTTTTAATTTGTTTTCAATCTAAACCATTAGTCTATTATTGTTAAATAAAACTAATGAAAAAAAAGTATTTGAATAATTAAACTCAATGTAGGTTACATAAAATATCTAAAATTTCATTTTTATTGAGTTTAATGACTAAAATATTTATTTATTTTTATTGATTTTATTTAACGAAAATAGAAACTCAGAAGAGGTTCATAGTTATTAGCTCAGAGGAGATTAGCTTTGTAAGGGTAAATTTCTTGAAAAAAAAAATGGCAAGAATAATAAAAACTGTTTGTCATTTTTTTGGGACGGAACTCTCGAACATATGACCAAAATTCGAGAATTTGTTCGGGAACAGGTTAACAAACCTCATAATGAAATAGAGAAAAAATTTCTTAATCACCATAAATTTTTTCCATTGGTTTTGGGAGGTTACACCGTTGTGGATTTTGTTAGGGTTTTGGGGATGTGAGGAATGTGAGGGTGTGCATTTGAATAAGTGAAATATTTTTACAAGAATAATTTTAGTATTAATTGTAAGGAGATATTTTTTTTAGGTATTTTAAGACTGATAAATGAGGATTCAATGAAATAGAATATTTAAAATAATTGATGAAGTGCTAATAATAACCTTCTATTTTAATTACTACATCCTTCAATTAAGAGCAGTTTTTTTTTTTCAAACTTTAGAATATGCTAATTAATTTGAAGCTCATTGTTTTTGACTATTAAGCTCTGAAGAATTGATCCCCCCAAGCTACCTATTTTGACCAATATTATTTTAGTTTGCTTCAAGAGGACCACACGTCTATGCTTTTGTTTGCCTATTTTGACCAATATTATTTTAGTTTGCTTCAAGAAGACCACACATTTATGCTTTTGTAAACATGTAGCGACCTTTGGTGTTTTTTTTGTTTTTTTTTTTTTTTTTTTGACTTATGATTCTGAATCAAAACAACACAATTGATGAGTACAAAATTATAATATAATAATAAGTCACAAACAATAATAAAAAGAGACTAGCTTTATTTACAGATGACGGACAAGGTATTCTCAAGGGACACATCATTTAATTTAACATATCTTACAGAAGAAAATAATTGGTGCAGAAGAAGGCTTCTAAATGTTTTACAGAGCCCTTCTTGTTGTACTTGTCCTCCTGTTTTCCGCAACTTGCCGTGGCAGAAATCAAAACCGGCAGCTCATCGGCAATTCATGCGGAGACATCCATAATGTTAATGTAAATTGTGTAAATGTAAATTACCACTACCACTCACTCCACCTACCACCTCCACTACCACCCACTCCACCTACCACCTCCACTACCACCATTCATTCTTTAACCCCTTCCAACTTCACTTCCGGAGATCCTTTTTATCCGACTGTAATAACCTTTCTAGTGTTCTTGAATTGTGAAAATCCAATGAAATCTCCTTATTACATTAACACAACGTCTTATTATTGTGACAATGGATTCAATTCCTCGTCATTGAAAGGCTATTTGTATGTTGTGGCTGGACAAGTGAGGGTTTGGGATGCCGCCGACTCCTGCACTGTCCATACCATTGCTATTTCTTCGTGGCCATTGATGATTGGAACTGAAATTGCATCGAATTTTTCATTCTCGGATGTTAACAAGGCGATGGAATATGGGTTTGAGGTTTTGTAGGGGGTTCAATAACTGCAAAAGTTGCAAAAAATAGACATCTTGCTTCGGCGATGTTTTGAATGTCACTGCCGCTTGCTCCAGTGTGTGCTCTTTTCAGCCTTCCTTTCTAAGTGAGTAAAATTTTCTGGTCCCTTAGCCTCAGTTTGTTTCGACAAAAATATTTTTATTACTTTTCGACGTTTAGGATGTACAAAAAGTTAAAAAAATAATTTTACCCAGAAATAGTTTTCACCGAAGAGTGATTTACAAATAGATTGTGTACAAAAATTACATTAGAATGATGTGTTTGATGACAAATTTATAATGGCAAATCTTTTCATTTTTTATTTGAAATGAATGTGTATAAATTTGACTGTCATTTCTTTAGGAGCACACTATTGATCTGAGAATGTCCAAAAAAAGGTTTTTTTGAAATTATATACAACAAGAGTGTTTGGAATAGCTTGCTGCTTTTGTGATGTATAGTTTCTCTCATTTCAGTTCATGCGGAATGTGTGAGCGTTACTCCTATTTTCCTTGTCTGTCTATCATTCGATAAAATGCATCAATGGATGCGTACCGTTATTTTATTCATTGAGTCGTTTTTTGAAATTTTGGACCTTTGAGGATAGAATTTAAAAGAATTTTTTATTGAAAAATGTTTGGTTAAGCTTTCTAAACTTAATTCTACCCCTTGATTTGAGTCATGTGTTTGGTTACAGTTTTCAAAAATTAATTCCACACCCCTATGTGAAAACACGTCTATTCGGACGTCCGGCCAGTTGACCGAAATAGTGTTTGTGTTTTTTTTTTTTGGGCCTATTATTTTAATATTTTAAATTAATCAATAAAAAACCTATTATTTTTATTTATGCACTCGAGTCTCCGCAAGAGCGGATCAAATTGTTTTATAACGAATTATCGTCACGAATGGCACTTGATAGTGTCACAAATAGTGCCTACCATGACATTAAAGTGTCACTGAAAGGTTTTAGTCTTGATGGTGTAATGACACTTATAAATGTCACTAACTCTCTTTTTAATGGCGCTTGATAGTGTCACAAATAATATCTACCATGACATCAAAATGTCATTGAGTTCGGCGCGAAGAGGATGGCTGTTGAGAAGGGAGGGCGACAACGGCGGGCTGCGATTGGCTGGGAGGCGCCACTTCGGGCCTAGCTGTTTCGGTAAGAAGGGCCCTGACCCTGCTCCTTTTCGCCATCTCTTCTTCTGCGGTTAGAGGGACAAGTCTTATCTCGGGCAAAGTTGGGTCCGGTTCCGGTGCCTCTTCAAGAAGGAAGTCAGTCACCTTTGCTTTCCGTCGACCGCTGTAACGGTAGGTCGGTTCGAAATTTAGAAGCTTGGCCCAATCCCTTTCTTTAACCCGAAAAGCGGCTCGCAAGACTCCGAGAGGTTGGGATAGCTATACAAGGAATGGAGATGGGCGAAATCTGCAAAAAAGAGAAGTGTTAGTTCGGCTAATAGACTAAACAACCGGGAGGCTGAAGAAGCAGAGGCACAAAGAGAGAAGAAGATGAAAACAATAGAGTAAATGATTCCAGAATCAAAAAGGGCTGTTTTGTGTAAAGGGGAGAGAGAAAAAGGCGGCAAAAAGAGGCGGGAACAGTACGAAAATTCTGAAGGACGGCGCGACAGTTGGCCATAGCCTATCAGAGTTTGCCACGTGTCACGGGAATGGGAAGCGATACAGTCGCTGTGATTGAAGAGACGTTTTGACCGGACATAGTTGTACCCGAGGTAAACTTAGCTCGGCTGGAAAGGCTAAAGGGTTTTTAGCTCGGCTGAAAAAGCATGACAAACTCTAGCTCGGCCAGAAGGCTGGTAATCCCAATCATGTTGCACAGATGGAATTAAGGGGCAATTGAGAGGGGTCCGGCTCCGGTGCTTCCTCGAGAAGAAAATCGGTTACCTTTGCTTTGCGGCGACCGCTGTAACGGTAGGTCGGTTCGAAATTTAGAAGCTTGGCCCAATCCCTTTCTTGAACCCGAAAAGCGGCTCGCAAGACTCCGAGGTTAGGATAGCTATACAGGGAATGGAGATGGGCAAAATCTGCAAAAAAGAGAGAAGTGTTAGTTCGGCTAACAGACTAAACAACCGAGATAACTTACAAAGCAGAAGACCAAGGAAGAGTAAGGCTATTCCGGTCCAGAGACAACTCGGAGTAGGGCCGGTCTTAGAGTTAGTCCGGTCGCAGTATGTTCTGGGAGGACCGGCTTCGGAGTTAGTCCGGTCACAACACACTCTGGCTAGGTCAGCCAGAACTTGTTACTTGGAAGTTTGATCTAAGCACACCAAGGTTGAACAGGGGCAGCCGAAGTAATGCGTTAAAGGGGAAGACCGAGCTAAGGATAGTTCGGCCTTCTCTGTGGCTCAGCATAGCCAGTGTTATTTCGGCCGTGTGGTAGTTCGGCTATGGAGAAAACCATCCCACTTGGTTTAAGCAGTGGGGGAGGGTGTAAAAGGATAAGCATTATCCTTAGGAGTTTGAATCCTAGGAGGACTCTGCATGGAGAAATACAAGTCCTACTAGGATTGTGCCATATGAAACTTATAAAAGCTCACAAGCATCACCTTGGAGGAGGTAATTGAACACAATCTTTCTGAGAACTTAGAGCTTTTGTCTATTTGTCAAGTTTACTGACTTAGGCATCGGAGAGGTTTCCGGCACACACCCGCCGGCTAGCTCACGTTTGTGTTTTCAGGTGACAAAGCGACGTCGTACGGAGGAGCGTGGTCTTGTGGCCTATTATTTTAATATTTTAAATTAATCAATAAAAAACCTATTATTTTTATTTATGCACTCGAGTCTCCGCAAGAGCGGATCAAATTGTTTTATAACGAATTATCGTCACGAATGGCACTTGATAGTGTCACAAATAGTGCCTACCATGACATTAAAGTGTCACTGAAAGGTTTTAGTCTTGATGGTGTAATGACACTTATAAGTGTTGCTAACTCTTTTTTTAATGGCGCTTGATAGTGCCACAAATAATATCTACCATGACATCAAAATGTCATTGAAAGTTTTTAGCCATGATGGTGTAGTGGCACTTGCAAGTATCTATCTTGGCACGGATACAAATGACACTTGTTCAAAATGCCACAAGACTAAAAAATGTCATTAAACCAATAGTTTTGTGACACTTTCAAATGTCAGTAAACTAAGAAAATGTTGTAGTGTATTATAATTTTGTACTCATCATCAATTGTGTTGTTTTGATTCAAAATCATAAGTACAAAAAAAAAAAAAAAAAAAAAAAAAAAAAAAAAAAAAAAAAAAAAAAAAAAAAAAAAGCCCACTACGTGTTTACAAAAGCATAAATGTGTGGGTCCTCTTGAAGTAAAACTAAAATAATATTGGTCAAAATAGGTAGACAAAAGCATAAACGTGTGGTCCTCTTGAAGTAAACTAAAATAATATTGGTCAAAATAGGTAGATTGGGGGGATCAGTTATTCAGAGCTTAATAGTAAAAAACAATGAGCTTCAAATTAATTATCATATTCTAAAGTTTGAAAAAGAAAATCTGCTCTTAATTGAAGGATATAGTAATTAAAATAGAAGGTTGTTATTAGCACTTCATCAATTATTTTAAATATTCTATACGTCATCAATTATTTTAAATATTCTATTTCATTGAATCCTCATATATAAGTCTTAAAATACCTAAACAAAATGTCTCCTTACAAATAATACTAAAATTATTCTTGTAAAAATATTTTACTCATTCAAATGCACACCCTCACACTCCTCACATCTCAAAAACTCTCTTTTCCAAAACCCTAACAAAATCCACGACGGTGTAACTTCCCAAAACCAATGGAAAAAATTTATGGCGATTAAGAAATTTTCTCTATTTCATTATGAGGTTTGTTAACCTATTCCCGAACAAATTCTCGAATTTTGGTTATATGTTCAGGAGTTCAGCCCTAAAAAAATGACGAATAGTTTTTATTATTCTTGCCATTTTTTTTTCCAAGAAATTTATCCTTACAAAATCTCCTTTCAACTAATAACACCATCGCAAACTATGAACCTCTTCTGAGTTTCTATTTTCGTTAAATAAAATCAATAAAAATAAATAAATATTTTAGTCATTAAACTCCAGAAAATGATATTTTAGATATTTTATGTAACCTACATTGAGTTTAATTATTCAAATACTTTTTGACTAATGGTTTAGATTGAAAACAAATTAAAAGATTATGTTTTAAATTGACAAAATTCAAAATTTCTTTTGTTACATGACTAAAACCTTAGTTTTTTTTTTTATTATAAATTGTCCCAAATAATAATCTATCAAATTTCAAAACACTAGAATAAAATACAAATAATTAGTGTAATTGAGACACATGTTAACATGAGTCATAAATAATATCGTAATTCTTAAGAATAAGTTCAACAAATATTTTTAAATATTGTTAGCATGTCTTCCAACATGACTTTTAACAAATGAATCGAATAGTATTCGAATTTAAAATATTAGGTACATTCACCTCCTTTAAGATTTAATATATATATACAATAAGTTCTTAAATTTGACATAATTATATTGAGTTTTTTTAAGGTTTTAGTTCAGATAATATTTGGCTTCTTTTTTATCATAAATTTGTTACTCGTATAAATAAAAAAAATAATGTAGTCATTGCTTTTATATTGAAATATATATTTTATATTGTGTATCGTTGTGTTTTTATATCATTTGTATTAGTTTTGGTCTATTTAATTTTACTAAAAAACATATCAATATAATTATATCAAAATTATACAACTTACTGTATTTCTTCAAATTTTAAAAGAGATCAGTGTACTTTATCTTAAAATATTTATTTTAAAATCACTTAATTAAATGTGGTTCATATCTCTATATTAATAATTGCTACAGAGTTGCTTAGAAGTTTGGAAAAACAACAATTGGTTGAAGGTTGAAGTAAAAAAAAAATAAAATCAGATTAATAGTAAAATTTATGAATTTTAATTAAAAATCCATAATTTTTCATATGTAATTATGTTTAAAAATTTACCATGATTTGTAATTTTACCACTTATTAGATTTTGACTTCTTTTTCAACGGACTTTGACTTAAGAAACAACCATCCAATTAGCCCTCAACCACATTTCCACACAACTGAGCACATCTTGGTGAAATGTCTGTATTTCCTTTGAAGACTCACCCACCACTCAACTACAATCATCTAGCTATGAGAATAATCATATAACCCATGTGGACACTCCATAAGTTGTAGATCACATCTGATCCAATTTCCAGCGTCACCAAAAGCAGAAACTAAGATATTTCCGAAGAATAATCCTTGGTAGCTCGAGAAACTCGTTGCCCGAATTGGCTCGAATATCCAAAACGACATCGTTTTGGGTATTTTTTTTTCCTTTCCTTATATCACTGAAAACAAAGAGAGAAAAGAGAAGAAGAGAGAAGAGGGAGGGGAATATCTCTTGTGTATGTGTGTGTTGATGATGATGGAGGGGGAAGATCCCTCTTGTATCTGTGTGTATCTCTTGGGAAGATCTCTCTCTCTCTCTCTCGGTGGGTGGGTTTGATTTTTGTGTTTGATTGGGCTTGATTTTTGTGTTTGATCGGTGGGTGGGTGGGTTTGATTTTGATTTCAGTTTTGTGATGGGTTTCATAGTTTTTAGAGAGAGAAAGTAGGTTTGCTTCAATTTTGTGATGGGTTTGGTAGTTTTTAGGGAAAAAAAGTAGAGGAAGAAGAAGATGAAGGAGGTTCTGTTTGTCAATGTTCACAAATGTTTGAGATAGAAAAGAGATGAAAAGGAAGATGAAGACGGAAAGAAGAAGGAAAAAAAAATGCAAAACGATGTCGTTTTGCATTTTTGAGCCATTCAAACTGTGTAACTTTCGAGCTACGAATTGCTGTTGATTTCTGAAGTAGTATCACTACAGGAAATGTAGGTTTTCACGGTGTTTATTTAATGGCGTTTTTCTAAACGTCACTTTTTTATAATATTTAACGGCGTTTTGTAAACGTTGCCTTTTTTTTAAATTAAAACGACACGGTTTTGATGATAAGAGGCGTTCAAAAGCGCCTTCAAATCTCTAAACACTCTCCCTAAATGGGCCGGCTACTGACTCACTCTTCTACACCCCCTTTAAGCCCTAATCTCTCACTCACTCAACCCTCTCTTGATCTGGACGGCTCGCTCTCTCTCTTTCTCTCTCTCTCTCTCTCTCTCAAATACTTCCAATAGCAGTGATTCATCTCAAAATATCGATCGATCATCGATCGATATCTCAACGGATTGCTCTCTCTCAATGGATCGATCGATCGAATCACGGTGATTCATCTCAGAATGACATCTTGGCGATTTTGATTTTGATTTCAAAGCTCTCTCTCTCGATTGCGAAGGTCTATCTGTTGATTTGGTTGTTGATTTTCGTTTGTGCAGATCAAGGCATTGCATATACGGAGATCAAGGCAGGCAGAAAGGTTCGGATCTACCCCTTCTCTCTCTCTCTATATATATATATGACTATCGTAAATTTGATTCAGTGATTCTGTTTTGTTTGTGTTGGTTCAGTGATTCTATATTTATATACTATAACCCTTTTCGGTTTTGTTGATTTGATTATTACCAAATTTTGATTCTGTAATGCAATAGTATTGCTCTGTTTCAGTGATTGATGTTTTGTTTATGTGAAATGTTTTGTTTGGTTATGAATTGATGTTTTAAATTGCTGTAATGTTATGAATCTATCTCATGTTGTAGCCATGCTTTCGATGGACAACTACTTCTTGGTCCTCACTTAGAAGTGAGGTTTTGAAAATTTGATCTCTCACAGTTTTGTCACTAAAATCAGTTTGTAGATGCATAGTTGTAGACACCCTATTTTTGACCGACCCTAAGACTCAGACGTTATTGATTGAGCGCTCGGTGATCACGCATGTTTGTGTTTGTTTCGAGTTTCCAGAGTTTTCAACTGAGTGCCTTGCCTCTGGGCCTCTGAACTCTTTGTGTTTTGGTTTGGTTTGTGGACCAAGCCTTGTTGACCTTGCCTGGAGGGAGAGAGGGGTCTGTAGACCACTTTTCTCTCCTGTAGGCTAGTTTTCGATTTTCGTAGCCTTCGGTCGCGCGCCTTGTCTCGGGACCGCTTACTGTTCTCCTTTTGGCTTGGTTTTCGAACCATGTCTTGTTGCCTTGGTCTAGAGGGACACAGAGGTCTTGGAGACCACTTTTCCCTCGTAGACCACTTTTGGTGTTCGAAGACAAGTTTTCGAGGCTCCCAGCTGTGTGCCTTGTCCCGCGGACTCTTGTCTTGTATCCTTTTTGGTTTGTTTTTGGCACAAACCTTGTTTTCCTTGCTTGGAGGGTGAAATAAGGGGTGCAGACCAGTTTCTCTCCCTGAAGACCACTTTTTTTCCCTGCCAGCCAGTTTTCTGGTCGGCTAGCTGGTCTTGGTGGTCTGTGGACCACCTAAAGTGGTCGACAGCCATGCCACCACCTTGCTTTCTTTGTGCAGACCACTCCTCTCCCTTGCCGACCACTTTTCATCTTTGCAGACCACTTTCACTGGTCGGCTGACCAGTGCAAGTAGCTGGCCAACCACTTCAATTGGTCGGCAGCTTTCCTGCACTTTCTGCAGATATTTTCCATGCCAGCTGTGCCAGCTGTTGGGCACAAAAAGCATCCTCCATACACGTGTATGGAGGGATTGCTTGGAGTTGCAAGCTTGTTCAACAAGCTTGATGCTTGATTTTCTATAAAAAGGAGCCTCCTCCCTCTTGCTTTAGGTTAAGAAATTTTGCATTGGAGCTATACATATATCATCTATCTCTATATTGCTCCTTCTCTCTACATTTGTGCTTAAAAGTGCCATTTCTTCACACTTTTGCTTACAAACACATAGTGAAACACCTTCATTCTTGAGCTGAGGTTCTTGAAGGTCTTGTTTGAACTCAAGAGTTGGTTTTTAGCTCAGAAAAGCTGTTGGAGTTGTTGCTTTGTTCTTGGTCTTCAAGGGTAAAGCTCTAATCCTTTTAAAGCTTTGTTTTGTATAAGTCTTTGGCCTTACTTGCATGATGTTTTAGGCTTAACTTTCTACTGAAAAAAGCTTCATTTTCAAGTGTTTGAAATGTTTGTTTAAGGCTTATTTGGTGTTGGGGGTGGTCTACCCCCTCTTGTGCCTTGTTTGGATTTGTTTTATACTATCCTTTTAAGCTATTGGGACCGCCTCTTTTTGGCCTTCTCACCACTGAAACTCAGAGGAATTTTAGTGGCGGAAAGTGTGTTTTGAGGTCCCAAATAGGAGGGGGTCATCCCCTCTCCTTGTGTCTTGGTTGCTTGCCTTGTCGGCTCATCAAAATAACATGTTTGTTGAGCTTGTTTTGGCTCCATCTTAGCATGTCTCAGGCATTATTTCAGCATGGCATACCTCTGTTTTGGCTTGGTTTGGTTACCTCATGCATGCATTCTATACTTGTAGTGTAATCTTGCAATCTAGTCTAGCATGCATCATGCTTTGGACCATCATTCTAGCATGATTTTGGCTCCACTCCAGCAAGCTTTTACTCATGATTTTCCATGCTTAAGCTCTGTTTTAAGTTATTTTGGTCATGCATGCCTTGCTTTGTATAGCCATAGTGCAATCTTGCTTACTAGCTTTGTGTTTTGAGTCCATTAGCACGCATTGCTTAGGCTATTTGCATGATTTAGCATCATTTGATATATGATTTCAGAGCATGTTTCATTGTCATACACTCACATGTGTCACTCTTTCAATACTTTGGAGGGTTGGTGCTTTATGCCTTAAACATGAGCTAATATGTATGCCATCTTGCCTAAGCTTTTGGGCTATCACTTCATGTATTTTTGGTGTTATTTTGCCTTGAGACAACTCTGTTTTTGGTTGGTTAGAGCATCCCTCATTTGCTTCTTGCACTTGTAGTGTAATCATGCTCATTGGCCTAGTTTACTTGGTGTTTTGGCCCTTCATGCTAGCTTGTCTTGGCTATACTCCATACATGTTTTAGCATCATTTTGACATACTTTAGGACTATTTTAGGTGTTCTTCGCCTTTTGGGGCTTGCTTTGCATAGCTATAGTGCAAGTGCCTATGCTAGTTTCAAGCTTTGAGCCTCCTAGCACGCTTCATTTATGACATATGCATGATTTGGCATTATTTATCATGATATTTCAGAGCATATTGCATTTCCATGTCCTCACTTCTTTCACTCTTTGAGTGCTTTTAAGAGTTGTGCCTTTGTGCCTCGTTTATGGGCCAATGCGTATGCATGCTTGTCTAGGCTTTTGAGCTCCTGTCCCAGCATGTTTTGATCTTTGTTTTGACCTAATTGAGCTCTGTCTATGGTTGGTTCAATCATTTGTGCCATTTATGGCATACCTCTTGTGTAGTCCCCTTTAGTAGCCTTGTGCCTTAGGCCCTCTTAGATGCTATGCTTGTGTTGTTTGGATGATTTAGCATCATTTTACACATGATTTCAGTGCATATAGTGTAGCTACACTCTCACATTTGTCACTTCTTCATCATGTTTGAGAGTTGTGCCCTTATGCCTAATTGATGAGCCTTCACATGAGCATGTGTTCTTGCCCATTTTGTGCCTAAGTTTTGGGACCCTCTTAGGTCTGTCCATGTGTGGTTTAAATCCATTAAGTGTTGCATTACACAGTCCTTGTGTATTGTGCTTCACTTGCCATGCTTATATCGTTTGGATGTTGTCGCATTGCATTATGTTTGCATGTTGTCACATTTGCATATTGTTAGCATGTTGTTGCATGATATTGTTATTTGCATGTTATGGCATGTTCATGACATATTGTTGCATACTTGGTGCATTGCATGTTGTTGCATGCTTGGTGCATTGCATGTTTTTGCAAGCTTATTGCATTGCATTGTGTGTGCATGCCTTGCATTGCATTGTGTTTGGATAGGGTGTCAATCCAAACACGAGGAACGAGGGACGTTTCATACTTGAACGTGCCTCATTTCTCGGTCGCCGACCCTCTTGATCATACATGATGGTTAAGGCTTTTATGTGTTATTTGTGCATCCATTGATATTGATTCGTGCAATCTTGGCTTCTCGGCCATTGTGCATTGCGATGCTCGATTGGTGGCCCGAGAGTCAAGAACCTCACTCCCTTGAGCTTAAGAAATGATAGGGAGAGTGGTTATGCACACATACCTTGCAAATACACTGCCGTGCCCCTTCTTGTTCTCTGTTGCAGTAAACTGGAAGTGTGCAGAATTTTCTGGTCGGCAGACCAGTAAAAGTGGCTGGCCGACCACTTTTTCTAGTCTGCAGCAAAGGTAAGTGGTCGGCAGGTGGTTGGCAACACCAATAAGTGGTCGGCAATGCTCTTGGAGGTTCCCATGGTGGAGTAGAAGCTATCTAGAGCTTTGTGCAATGTCCTGAGAACAATTGCAAACAGAGGCAAGTTGGGGCATCGCAATGGATTTTCGAATGAGGCGACCGAGCATGCATGAACTTCTCATCCTGAGGACATCTCTTTATTGCTTTACTTAGTCACTTTGCTTAGCTAGCTTATACCTTGGTTTTGTACTTAAGTAGTTAATGCACTTAGCTATCAATTTGTGTTGTAATAACTAGTTAACTTGTTAGTTAATTAGCTTTGTTTTGTAATAAGTAGTTTAATTAGCTTAGATTAGCTAGTTTACTTATTATTTGGACCCTCCGTCGAAAGGGCACAACTGTTGTAATAAGTGTGCGTGTGTGTGATGCATGTCTTTCAACCCCAATTTCTTTCTCCCTTTTATTTACCAGCTTTCGATGGTTAATTTTAGGGCATGTTTCAATTAGCATCCTTATGCTCGCATGTTTGCATTCATTCATCTGTCTTGCATGCACCAGGCTCGGCGCATCATTTAAACTGCATTGTATTTCAATTCCTATTTGAATACATGTATCAATTGTCGCATTCATATGCCATATTAGAATAGCTGAGCCTATCTTAATTGCATTTTTGCATGTGTTGCATTGGGCATTGTTGACATAGCTAGGATCATGCATGATTACTAACTAGCTTCTGTTTTAGCTCGGAGTACACTGTGAGTGTTTATGGTTTAGCATCCTTGCATGTATGTAAGTGACTGCCATGATAGCATGCTTGCCATGAGGCTAACTGCATAAGTGTTTAAACTGCTTGAATGCCTGTGGATGAAGGCTTGATTGCCTGAATTGGAACAACTCGATGATTGTGAGTTCTAAGCCAACTTGAAGTGGCAAAATCATGTTTTCTTAAGCCCACTTGAGGGTGGCAAATCCGCGTCTTAGTCTACTTGCGAGTAGCACCTTCAAACCACTTTAAAAAACAAACATGAGTTGTATTGTTCCAATCCACGTGATTGAGTTTATACTTGTATGCTGTGCGCATCACATAGTAAGCTAGCTAATAAACCGGAATAAGAACGCATGTGTTTTCAAAAACAACATATCTTGTTAGTAGAGGCCGATCCTTTGATCGGGCGAGCGGAGGTGCTCATTTCATGACCTTCCCCCTTCGTACCCAAGTTCTTGAGCCGATGCAACTTTGGTGATGACGGACACGTGGCTTTAGGCACGAGTCAGGATTTCCTAAATTTCCCAAAACAAAATATTTAGGTGGCGACTCTGAAATCTGGCAAAGCAGTCCATGTTTGGCACTTCTTGATAAAAATCAGTTTTCCAAAACGATTTGCCAGATTTGGACTCTTTCGTGATTTATCAGTCTCACATTGCACTTTGTGAGATTAGATTCAGAACCATGACATGAGTCCGAACTGTAGTAGCTAAGAATCATGATTCGCGCCCTTGCGCGCGGAGCTTAGTTCCGGGCGGTCTACAATAGTGAATTTGAGGTAGTTTGCTATTTCAAATAGCAAAATTATGGAACAGTTAATATTTTCATGTTCTTGATGCTGCTAATTGACTTGGTTTATCATGAATTTGCTAATGTTCAATGATCCACTAATCTAGTTATAGTTGGTAGTCAATAGTGTTGAATCAGTTTTGTAATTTGAGTTATTCAAACTTGAAATCCTGAGTTCCAGCTTAATCTCGAGTTACCTGTGAACATATTGGTGATTTTGAAATACATTTGAAATAACAGCCTATGTTCCAATCAACTAATCAGGTTGTTTGCTAAAACAGAAAGCCAAGTAAAAAAAATGTTTTAATGCTGACAAGTGAACTAAAACACTAAAGTAATGGACTTCTAAAATAAAACATAAATTAAATATTTAAAGATAAATCAATTTGTCAAAACTAAAAAAACACCTTCTATAAAGTATGTTCAGCATTTATGACATGTCTTTCTATTCCCACGGCACAAAACATCTTAGCTTTGATCTGACCCCTCCTTGGAGGAAATCTAGCCTTTTTTCCCTTTCCCATTTTGATGTCTTTAGCTTTCATTGTTGTTGGTGAGTTGGACTCTTGAAGAAGCTCAGTACAAGGAAGAGAGTAAGAAAGAGAGAAGAAAATTCTTCTTTTTTTTCTTGGGAAAATAATGTGAAGGAAAACTTTTTCAAGGCTACTCTCTCCCTGTTGTTCACACACACACACACACACACATACATATTGGGGGCTTGAAGAGGAAGAATAAGATTCTGTCAAAAGGATTCACACACAGAGTGTGAACATAGCTTGGTTAGAGGAAAATGTCAATGTGAATTGGTGTGAAAGTGTTATGAACTCTTATGTATAGCTGTCTTTCATTCATTTAATTTGTTAAAAAAAAGGACTTTTATTTATGACATAATAGACACCAATATTTTAGTATCAAAAGCTAAAATTGAATTTCATAGGAGTTAGCTAAGTCATGCAGCCTCTAGTTTAGTCAAAAGCTTGATTCAGTCAAATGCTAGCTTGCAACTCACTGAATTAACTCACTTATCTATTTTGGAATGAATTAACACAAATTTTATCAATCAATGAGAAACTTATGCTTCTTTTGGCTCCTGCTTTTAATTTTTTTTTTTGGGACTTATTTTTGTAATAGATCCCAATATTCTATACATGTAAGAATTTTGGGCATTGTATTGGATTAATGACAAGTTATTTGGTGCTGCTAGTGATTTGGTTTTGGTTTTAGTTTGACAAAGGGTACACACAAAAGGTTTAACCAATTTTAGACTTGGAAATGGTTTCATCAAGAAATACTGCTACTACTACTAATAGTAGTCGTATTGTTTATCTATTTCTTTGCCTTTTTCTTGCTGAAGTTAGCTTCTGTTTTTCTTCTAAGGTGTGTAATTAGGTTATGCTGTGATGTTTCATGAGCTTGGTGGATACTCTAATGAAAATTTGAAGTTCTTTCCCTTATCTCTTTAAAATTATATGCAGGTGTATGTGGTCTATATGGGAAGTAGAGATGGTCATGATCCAAATGATGCTTTGGGTAATGATGTTATGTCAAACACTCAAATGAACAGACAAAAATTGGTTCACCTTTATTAATGCACTAATCACTTCTTATGTAAGGTTGTTATCACTCTGGGAAACTAATTTGATTATGCTGAGTAAATGTTTCATTAATAAAGCATGTTGTATTTTTTGTTTCTATGTTTTAATTTTATTTATTTATTTTTAAAATTTATACTAAACTTACTGTTTTATTAGTTGATTTGCATAATTGAAATTGTACACCAACTATTTTATGTCTTTGTGTGTGTGGGTTTGGTGCTATATTGGCCTGTTTCAAAATTAAGACAATGATGTTGATGTTTCCCACTCTGGTTATAGTTTGTGCAGGTTTGGTGTCAAATGCTATTATTCTGATTCATGTTTTTGGCCGCTATTCATGTCTTAATATGAACTTTATGGTTACTTGACTAGTATATACCTTAGGCTATTGACAGACGAAGCTTTAATTTTTGTCCTCATCCACTATAAACTTCAATTAAATGTTCAGAAAAAAAGAAAGAAAGGCTTTCTTTCTTTGCAATTTGAAGTTTCTGCTGCTTTTGTCTGAAATCAAAAGGAGGTTGATCTGTTTTGGTTATAATTTGGTTTTCAAGTGCAGTGTACTTTGTTATTATACAAAAAATTTGAGACTTAATTGGTTGACTAGGAAAGTAGTTTTCACATTTCAAACCCTGTAGTCCTGTTAAGGTGTTTCATGTTTATAAAAAAAAAATTGGCCTTCACCTTGAATAGAGTGGATTCAGTAAAAATAATGTTTTACACCTAAAAATATATATAAAACAAGCTAGATTATTATTGTCTTACTCCTTTGAACTATCATTTAATATCATTTTATTTCCTCTAACTAAAATATATTACATTTTGTGACATTGCACTGTCAATTTGTATAAATTTAAAAATTACATTAATAATCCGTTACATAACTGGATCGAACATTGACATGTAACTTACACATGATATCTAAAATAATCATACATTTGTTTTAATTAAGGTATTGTGTTGGTTTGATGAAGGTTTTTGGGAAAACATATTTCGTCTTTGTTTACCCAAACACGTGTGAAGGGATTTTTTGCATTGCAAGTGTTTGATAAATGCTTCAATGATTTTTTTTTTATAAACTAATTAGATACATGTGAATTTAGGAGTATGCTATGATGAATGCTAAATAGCTCTTGTGATGGTGTATTTTGTAAACTGTAGTGACTATTTTCACCCCTAGAATAGTATTACTTAGGAAATAGATGTGTTTGGTTAATATATTTTAAATTCTGATTACATATATGCACATGTATATTTTTGTGTTCTTTAGGATTTGCGAAAAATAGTGATATGTTAAATCTGTTTTATATTTGTAGTGATATACTTTGCTATGGTGTTGGTCTCCTTTTCCAAAATCAAAGTTGCAAATGTGGAAGAAAAAAACAGATATTAAGATATTGGATTCAAAAAAAAAAAAAAAAAAAAAAAATCCAGGGAGGCTTTGGTGTGCAAATGACGTGTGATTAGTTTGCGTGGTGAGTGCTTGCAAACCAACATGGAGCGGCTTGAGGCAAACCAATGAGCTATGAAATTGTTTTTGATGACAAGCATAGTGTGTACTGATTTTAGCATTTACTTTAATGCTTAAGTGATTGTTGTATGCTAAAGTGATTTTAGCATAGTTTTAAAGTATGATCTGTAAGGTTATAAGATGTTTGAACTCAATGTAATAAGATGATATCTTGTTATTAATTGAATGATGTGTCTTCAGATGCCAAGCCATCTTTCCCTTGTTATTATTTGATGTTGCATTTGGGCATTGCACTAATTTGGAGGACAAAGGGTTGTTTGTTTCAGACTTGGAAGCTGTATGGGCATACAAACTTAGTGTTCTTATGTCTTTAACATGCAAATGGAGCCACAAGTCTCCTTGGGTTGTGAACCATGCCTCCATCCTGAGAAAATCCTAATTAAGGATGGTGATTGTGGTGTAACTGTATCCTTTCAAAACCAGGGAATATTTTGTGCTTGTCATTTCGAAGTTTCTAATCATTTGTCTCAATTGAGGTGCTTTGTCGTTTTTGTTATTGAATTGAGAAAATTGATTGTACCTCTGGAATGCAGTTTCCAGTGCAGAGAAAAAACAAACACTGCAATGGGCTGCTTGGACACGTCAAGAGGAGGAAAGCTTCTTCACTGCATTGCGGCAAGTTGGCAAGGCATTTTTTGCTGACATGGTTTTTGGTTTTTGGAATTATTTCTTACGATATAACATGACTATATGATGTCTTTTAAGAGAATTTCGACTTTGTCTTGATGCCAAAAATTCTAAAGATACTAATGCTACAATGCTTTGATGGTTACCAGAAACTATGCCCTCTACTTAATGTCTATTTTATATATTTTGGTAACTGTGCATATTTCTCTTAAACTAGCAACATGTATGTGCACCTATGTTCCTTTCTGATTATATTTCTAAGGAGATCTAGTGATGTTGAACGAACTTATGTAGGGGTTATTTTGTTGAATGAAGCCCTCATCTAATTGAGTAGGTTTCATCTTCAACTGCTTAGGTGGGATGTACTTTAAGACTACCATTAAAGACTCTGAATAAGAGTTGTAGAGTGTTCCAAGTAATACTGGAAGTTATTTTTGTTATAAATAAATGTACCTTGTTTAATGTCTGGAGATTGTATTGTGTTTCTTTGGTTGTGGGCATTTCTTCTATGATTGTGGAATTTCACTTCGTTCTCGAATAATAATTTCATCTGGTAGTCATATTTTTGAACTTGCATTTTCAGGGGGGCAATGTTGGTCATCTGCATAAACTACAGGGTATAGAGTCAAGTTCACAGGTTTGTTAATATGTTGATTATAATTTTTTTCTCATCTCCTTTCCTTTTTCAAATGGTGCCTAGACATTATCAAGAAGCTATCATTTTGAGTGGGATGCTGTATATTCTTTTAATCTTTTGTATTTTTTTGCATATCTTTGTTAAGCATTTGATTTTTCTAGATCTTTACATGAGCGCGCATATGCAATCATACTATACTTCAAAGCTGTTGCTTGGATCAATTCAACCTCTTACTTTATGTTCAAAGTAATCTAAGCACAGAGCAGCAGTTAAAAGAGTTTTATGTGGTTTGATCACTTGTGGAAGATTGTGAGATTTGATTGGAGAATGGTTGGTTCCTTCATGATGACAGAGTAACTATTTTACCGATTGCTTTGTTAGTTTTCATGATATGATAATTAGAGCTTGCTATTATATTCTTAGCCTAATTACCGTTAAATGTAATGTTATATTTTCTTTTAGAATATAGTATATTGTAACATCCATCAGATTGTCATATTCTATATTTTTTTCTCAACTAGACAATGCTCCAAATATTGAGTTGTGGCCCCCTACTGGACAATGTTCCCATCCATTTTTGTTTATTATCCTTTGCTATTCTATATTTTTTTCGCTGTTATTGATTGTGTGCCTTTCTTCTCCACCCTCACCCTCACCCTCACCCTCGGATGAGATTATTGAATATGCATATAAAAAAATGGCTGAGATGACATTATGATGACATCATAACTTTGCCTATAAAAAAATAGCTGACATATGATGAGATCATAACTTTTATGGCCTTGATAGGGAGTGCTGACAGCATTATTTGTGCAATTTGAGGAGCTGTCGGTTTTTTTTTTATATGGTGTTTGGATTACCTGGACTGAAAAGAAGGTTTTGTGTTTGACCATGTAAAATATAGTTTTTTTTTTAATATTATATATTTTATAAAATTTAAAGGCATACTCAGCCAAAGGGATTTGTTTGGGCAAAAATGAAACTGCTGCCTATAGGTAAATGCTACAGTTACTTTTCTCTGTAAACTAGGTAAAAATTGAAGAGAGCTTATTGAAGAAAGTTCAAAAGAGAAACACAAACTAGGTTCTATATTTCTTTAATTGGCCAGGTGTGCCGCTTCTGTTACGTGGGAACAATGAGAAAAATGTGAGTTCCTTGTCCAATATTTTTTATATCATGGAGATATATTGTTTTGTCAAAACTAGATACTGGACAGGAGGAAGCATGGGTTGAACTATCTAGATAAAGCTCCTCTATTGGCCTTGTATTTTGTGACAAAACAGGTAAAATTTGACTAAAAATTTGACTATTTTGATAAAGATGCTCTTACAAGAAGTTAGTAAATTTTATATATTGTTTACAATTTTTTAGAAATGAAAATAGAAAGCAAAACGAGTTTTTGCTTTGAGTTTTTAATTTTTTTTAGACATAGGAAACCATAGACGAACATTTCCAAAGATATGGATCACCTTTAAGAATTTGCAATTCATGGGTTGGAATTAGGTGCATGCATGATGGTCATTGGCTAATAAAAGAATGCTGATTAAAGTTCGAAGGATATTTTGTGGGGCTTTTTTCACTCCTATCCAAGCCATAGAAGAGACTACCATGCTTTGTATTTCCTCGGATTTTAGATTCCACTAATGTTTTTGATGTCTAATTTTTTTATTCACCTGGTGAATCTTTAACTTCTCTTGTAGCCCCAGTACTTGTTGCGAATGGTAATTTTTTTAAAATTGAATATTGCTTTCTCTTGGGTGCTTAATTTTTTATTCACTTGGTAAATCTGTTAAATTTGTGTTGTAGCACTAGCATTGAGGGGTAATTTTTTAAATTGAAGATTGCTTGCTCCCTTGATTTGCACACAGAATTTTGCCATTTGCTAATTGAAATTTCTGGATTAGTTTGTAAATAAACTGCGACATGCAAAAGAAGGTGCAAGGGATATAATGGACAGAACTTGTGCTGACTTACCATGTCAAAGTTTGGCTTGAAGTTGATGGGAAAGACATTCCAATCCCAAAGGTACTTCAACTCAAATAACATAAGATCTTTATTGTTATTGTTGTTTTAAATTATTATTACTATTGTTATTTCATATTTAAAAATTTTTCTTCTAACTTTTCCTCTAGGATGCTGAGGGTTTAATTGTGCTCAACATAGGTAGCTATATGGGTGGAGTTGATCTTTCGCAAAATGATTATGAGCATGATGATAATTTCAGTCTTCAGTCCATGCATGACAAAACGCTTGAGGCTTTCCTTTGGATTCTTATTTCTCTTCTTTTTTCTTTTTTCCTTTTTCCTTTGATCTGACTAGGGGGTTGGGTGTTTTGATTCATTTTCTTCTTATCTTTTGGCTTTGTATACGGAGTAGTAATTTTTTTGTTGAGAATTGTGAATTCAATTTTTGGATATATTATTTTCTAGGTAATGTTGAAACATTATTTGTGGATATATCATTTTGTGGGTAATGGTGATTGGATATTAAATTGAATGGAAAAGTGAATTAATGAAGCATTTACTATTTGAATGTGAGTTATTATTTCATATAAGTGCTATTCAATTTTATTATAGGTATTGTTTTAGTTCAATCACATAAAATTAGCACAATTTAAAAAAAAAAGAAAAGGATACTTACGTGTAGGTCTTAATAAGTGGAATTATTGTCTAATAGGTTCTTTGGAAAAAAATTGTCATAAAAAAAGTCGTTAATTGTAAGTTTTAATGATAATTTATAAAAATCATAACAAAAAAAAGTTACTAATTATCAATTTTTAGCGACATATAAAAAATTGTCACAAAAAAATTATTGTTGGCGATAATTTTATCGAGATTTATTTTCAATAGGATTTTATAGGAATTAAGTTCAATTATTAGGATCTATTAGTAATTTATCCAAAAAAAATAGGGGGATATCACGGCGTTTTGAGAAATGCCACCTAAACTCTAAAGCTAACGGTCAGTTTTTTTTTAAATGATATGACGGTGTTATCATTAAAATCATAATTATGTCATAGTACTGTTAGGGTGGGACATTTAGGCATATTTAAAAATGCCGCCTATACTAAATATAGCGACGCTTTTAAAGTGTCGTAGAGTTATAGCGACGATCGCATTTTTGACGTTTGGTATTAAATGTCACGAAAACAATTAGCGACGTTTTTTAAACGCCACTAAAGCCTAATTTTAAGCCGTGTATATTTCAGAAGATGATAGCATGTGTGTGAAATTTGTCATAAGTCAATCTCTAAAATGTCCATGGGAAACTTCCAAGACAACCAGCTCATTGTTCATTGGCCTCTCTATAAAAGCACACCAACTTGGATCCTTTGGGCATTTTTATACATTCGAAACCACTACCAAGAGTATCGCCCCGGAAGTGAATTGGTCACCAACCAACAATATCCAAGGATGAGATGATGCTTTTGGGTAAATGCAAAACTACTTGGGCCCTTATTGCTGACTGAGCGTATACTAGGTGTAGGTTGTTGTTCACTAAATTGAGCCTACACAGGCTTGAATAGCTTGAAAAATATTAAGTGTGCCAAGTTATTTTGGAAATTGGGCTTGTTTGGTTGGGTATGCCAAATCACTGTAAGTCACTTTGGACATTGAACTTGTCTTGTTAAGTGTGCCAAACTTTGGAGATTGAGCATACATGCTAACGATTGGTATTTTTTTTCATAATAATACTAAAAAAATATATAAAATAAAATTAAATAGAAATAAAAAAAAATAATATTTGTATTAAAGGATGAAATACAGAATATTTTATAAAACTAAAAATACATGAATGATTCAAACCCGGATATTACAATTTGATGAATAGAAACATAAAACAAACACATGCTGGAATAAAATGATAAATTGAAATAAAATAAGAGATGGCCGAAACCAAGATACGAAAGTCGAAACTAACTAATGCAAAAACATCTTTTGAATAGTTTCGACGAACTTGATAATGGCAACACTCTCTCTAATAAGAACAAAAGAAGGGGCTAGCAAAGAAGATAGGAAAATTGTCCTTCGAATTTTCTTTTGACGTAAGAAACATCTCCAACTTCATTTCAAAAATCACCATTCTTCATCACAAAAGACCTCTCTAAAAAACTTACTAAGTTGAAGGGAAAATGCCTCTATTTATACTTGTAGAGGAGAGCCTTAGTCATAAAAGCTAACATCAATACACTACTAAAAATCGGAGCTTTTGCAACGGTCTTAAACGTTGCAAAAGATTCGCATGTCGTCGTAAGAGACTTTTTGCAATGGAGTAGCAATGGGAAATGGGGGGTAGCGACGGTAAATCAATGGCTTTTGCGACAGTTTAACCTTACATAAAAAAGGGTGAAAAACTTCACTTTTAGCGACGATTTGGGTTGCTATCGCCAAAAACTTTGTTAGCAATGGTATTTGACATCGTGAAAAGTATTATTAGCGACGGTCTAAAACGTCACCAAAAAATTAGAATTAAATTAATACTGGATTTGCGATAGTTTAAACTGTCAATAAAAATTTGAACAAATATGTATATGTGATAGGTTAGCCTGTCGCAAATAAAATGTAAGGAAATGATGATTACATTAGGGACGATTTATTATTGTCGTAATAAAATTATTTTCATAAAATAAATATATATTTTATTAATTCATTCCCTGTACAAAATATTAATATTTTCTAACATAAAATATATCCACATCCACATCTACATTCACATTCACAAAATCATACAAATAATAATATATGTACCCTGTAATAATTGTCAACCAAATATTCTTTACAAAAATATATATAAAACATCCTCCAACAATACTAATAATTTTTGATAATTCAAGAATTTAAATTTTTGTATATAAAACAAAACAAAAGTATCGACAATACATATACATACATATATATATATATAACATATATATATATATATATATATATATATTATAACTTGTTTTAATATCAATAGTAAGCTACAATATCGATGTGTGAAAATATCATCACGTACTCAAAATGGTTGCATCTGCCAAAAAAATAAAAATTATCATTTACAATATAATTAATTTTAAACTTACAGAAAATAAATAAGATTGTAACATATACATGAATCGAGCACCACACAATGTATCTTCCAACAGCTTCTCTAACTGTTCTTAGACCTAAAGATGTTGTTTCCAAAAGGGTGTTCGGCTTTTTGGCTTTTAAGATAGACTTTGCAATATTCAGGGTTAATTGGAACTCCATTAATTTCACACAACGGATCGTCACTAATAACAAGTCCCTCCGCCAATTGGACTATTGGTATACGTAAACTATTTAAAGAAACTTTAATTACATTCTACAATGATGATAATACTATTAAAATCAGGTAATGATTGAAGACATTGTGCTATAATCTAACAATAATCGAATAAACATAAACGATGAAAAGAGTTTCTAAAGGACTTGTTTTCACAAATGGGAATTTGGATATACATCCAAAACTAGAACCGGTTTCGACTTCCCTCTTTTCCTACAAGCCATTTGTGCCTAGTTAGTCAAGTGTGTCAAGTTTTGTTGACATCTGATGCCGTTTGAGCATTTTAGTGTGTCAACCGGTTCAAAAAAAGTTTTTAAAGGACAAGTTTTCACAAACGAAAATTTGGCTTCAGATTCAAAACCGGGAATCGGTTTTGAGTTCCGTCTTTTCTTACAAGTCATTTGTGCCTAGTTAATCGTGTGTGTCAAGTTCCGTTGACATCCGACATCGTTTGAGCATTTTAATGAGTCACACGGTGAGAAAAAGAGTTTGTAAAGAATAAGTTTTCACAAATAGAAATGAGGCTCTACATGAAATTTAGTTAGAGTTTAAATAGATTATTGAGGGGTTTGGAGTTGCTGTTGTGAGCTCAGCACAACAGCAACTACTATGCCTCACTGTTGTGCCTCATTGTTCACCAGATTCCAAGGTAATTATGACTTCAATGCTACTGTCATTACCAAAATAAGAGCATCAATCCAATAAACAATCTTGACAATTGAATTGGTTCTTAAATATTTGATTTTTTTTTGTATCTTTTTTATTTTTGTTGCTTTCAAGAAACAAAGGTGTTCCTTCTCGCTCTATGATTTCGTTTTCTTGAGTATCTGTTTTAATTTTTGGGATGAGAAGACAAAACTAGACTAGAAATTTGGTACCATAACTGTTTTAGGTAAACTCTATTGTGTCTTTCATCTGTTCTATCTGATAACTAGCCACTAAAGCATGTTATGCAATCTAAGAACCAATATGTTTGTTGATGGACCTTATACTAGAGTTTTAGAGACAATGCCCTTGTATGACATATTGCACAAGTTTCAAAACGGTCTCAGCCATATGGCTGCTGTCATGAAACAGGACAATGACACAGTGGAGCAACTAGCCAGGAGACGCACAGCCAATGGTGAGTACTGAGTTCTCTTGATAAAATGGCTTTTGTGTACTCTTTTTTTGGTTTATTTAATTTTTGATTATTCTTTGGTACATAATTTCATCTTTTGAGCCACATATAGATTCAACGAGGGAAATGAGAGTAGATATTCACAGTGAAAGGTTTTATCACAAGAAAGTATTGAAAACCAAGAGATCGCACAAGAATTTGAAGAACCAGCCAAGAAACTCAAACAGAGTAAACTCAAGTAGTAGGAGGTGGTCAGATCATTATCACATGGAGGTCCTACTAATAAATGACAATTCACTCTCAATGCTCACTAAAGATGAGGAAGTCATTGGCATAATTAAGTACTCGAGTGTTTACGAAAAATAACAAATTATATGTATGTATATATGTATGTATGCATGTAAACGGTCTAGTCTGGTTCCAAATCAGAACTATAGTTATAAAATCACGTATTGAACTGCAAAATGATTTACCTATTTTAAGAATCAACACTAAACTGTGAATTGAAAAACCAGCATTGAGAATCCTTGTGACGACCCCACCACGTATAATAATTAGTATCTAATTAACGAAGGATATTTCAATTTTAATTGCCCATTATTCTGATTTAATTTGGGATTATGAAAATTGTGGAGGCTAATTCATATATGATTCTATTGAGAATTTATTTTGGAATTAGAAATTAAAAGCCTAAATGGCTCAAGAGAGTATAATTGGTGAATTGAATTATTTTAATTTCAAGTATCGGACCATATGAGAGTTTAATTAAATATTCGGTTCATATTTGTAAAATTAAGATTTGATTAATTGGGTCCGAATTGGAGTTGATTAAGTTATGAGAATTGTGAATGAAGATTATTATGAATTAAATTTATTTATGAGGTGTTCAATGGGATATGTAATTTATTGGCAGAGATTTTGAGTTTGATCTGAAATTGAAGGCCTTAATGATGTAAGAAACCAAAATTAATGAAGGTAACAAGTTTAATTTGATATTTCAAGTCTTTTGGGAGTTTGATTAAAAATCTAATTTAGATTGAAAAAAATTAAATATAATTAATTGGGCTCTAATAGAAGTCAAATTAGACAAATTAAATTATGTGAAATTTATGATTAGCTATGACTAATTTAATTATGTGTTAATCAAGATTTATTAAGACTAAGGGTTGCTCAATTAAATTAATCCTAAACATAAATTAAATTATAGAAGAGTCTAGAATTTAGAGTGTATGTGGGTGTGGGTGTAGGTGTGGGTGAGAAATCTGTGGGTGTGTGTACGCTCAATGTTATGTGCACGTGTGCTTGAGGTGTCAACAAGAGAGGATGTGAGTGTGTATCTCTTGTTCAAAAGGAGAAGGAAACTTATGGAATCAACACTTTGGCTGGAGAAACAATCTGAGGGAAAGAAAGAAAAGAAAACCCAGAGAGAGAGAGAGAGAGAGAGAGAGAGAGAGAGAGAGACTCTATGCGCTGGAATGGTGAAGGAAGGCAAGGGAAAAGCTTGGAAAGTGAAGAATTAGAAGAGATATTCAACTAAATTTTTTGAAATTAAAACTTAAAGGTATGTAATTTATGTTTAATTTGTGTAGAATTTTCACATTACACTAGCAATTAAAGATGAAATTGGAATCAATAGCATGTAATTGGAAGAAATTAAGAAGATAATGAAGAAAAATGAGTTAGGTTACCTAATATGGAAATTGATCTCATAATATTATCAAATTGAGTTTGATTTTGAACACTATAAAGTATTTGAGTTTTATATTTACATGCATCATGAATTTTGAAAGAATTTAAGTCATTCAATTTTATACTAATAATAAGAGAAAGAAAAAGTTGTGAAAACATGAGTTCATGAAAATGGTTTAATGATGGAGTTAAATGAGGTTTTGATTTTTTGTTTTGGAATCTAAAAATTGGTTTGATTTTAATCTCTAATCCATGCATGTAATGTAATTTAAGAGTTTTATTTAATTTAAACAAATTTTGGAATATATTAAATTAGTTAGTTTTATCTGAATTACATATATACAATGTTTGCTAGGAAAATTGACAAGAAAATAAAGAATTGGAGCTAAGATTTTATGAAGTTAAATTAGAAATTAATTATTTTGGGTTTGATTTTGAAAGGTATAGTTAAATTAAGCTTCATAAATTACATGTAAATATTCTTATAAGAGTTTTATAGATTTAATTTCATGTTTTGAAAATCAAGAGAAGAAGAATTTAAAAGCTTTGCATGAATGAATAAATAATTCAAGTTTTGACAAAATTGTTGAGTTTTGGGGAAATTGATTTCTAAAGGGGCATGTATTGGTATTTTCCAAAGTATTTTCATGTTTTCAAGCAAGCCATGCATGACGCCAAGTCTTGGAACAAAGTTTGGAAGCTCAACTCCGGTTTTGAAGTCCAGAAAATTTATAGACCTGCTCGAGCGACCAATTGGTGGCTCTAGTGAACCCACCTTTTGTTTGTTAGTTGTTCGAGCGACTAAATGTTAGCTCAAGCGTACTTTTGACCCGTCCAACATTTTTGCAGACAACACAATATGCTCGAGCGACCAAGTGGTGGCTCGAGCAGTCAGGCTATTTTCAGCATGTTTTGAAAAATCACACTTTCTTTATATCTTCATCTCATCTTCTCCCAAAGCATTCTAAACATGATTTATGGCTCATTGAAGATTAATAAGCTAACAATCAATATAAATTAGTTGGTTAAAGAATAAGTCATTGATTTAGTAGTAATTAATTAAGAAGCCAAGTACAGAAATCGATCTACTTGAAAAAGAAGAATTTAATAATGAAAGAATATGTGAAATGAGACCCGATTCATTTGAATGAACATGGTAGAATTTCGGATTACTTAAACAAAAAAAGACAAGGAAAGTCAAGTTTGATTAAGGAAGTAATGCTGTGTTTCAATGTGGATATGTTATGTGTTTATGTAGGTCACGCGCTAACGTTTGCTTGATCTATTTGATCTGTCTAATTTGTCTGATTTGCCTCTGGAGCTATCTGTGAGTAATAACTCTGTAAAGCTATATTTGATTATAAGTAATTTCAGAATGATAAGATATGATTTGGTTTTTGAAATGCTATTTTTTGTGAATAATGAATGAATGTCTAATTTTTTGAAATGTATTTGTGGTATCCTTAGTTCACGTGGCCCTCGTCCGGGAGAAACAATACCATGGCATATGATTATATGGCCCTTGCCCGGGGAAAAAAATACCGTGGTCTATATTCACATGGCCCTTTCCTGGGGGGATATAATACCATGGTTACTTGCGCGCAAGATATGGACCTTTATGGTCGTCGGTACCGACTATGCATGTGGGTCCTAGGACCAATTTGATATGATAGCTAATAGATGTACCATATATAACTGCTTATGATTTTTGGTTAAATATGTGAATCTGAATAAGCTTTTGATATGAACTCGTATTTCTGAAACTATTTGGACATCATTCATAAACCCTTGTTGTTATTCATTGGGGTCCAGCTAACTGCTTCTACGGATTACTGGTCGATCATAATGCTAAACCTATAGAGGCTGGTTTGGGTCGTGACAATCCTCAATTTCAAATCAATGAGAAAGGTTACCTATTTTAAGAATCAAGAGTAAACTGTGAATTGAAAAACCATGCATTGAGAATCATGGTTTTCGAAAAGTTTCTAGACGAAGGAAAGAAGAATGCAACTCAGTCAGCCCGCAAAACTCAGTATGATTTGATAAACAAATAGACTATTTTAGCTTCCTATTCATAGACAACAACGACCACTAATCTAATTAAGAACAATATTTAAACTCATTTCAAATCAATAAAATTACTTCACTACAAAAACATTATGTATAAATTACATATCTATACTATCATATATGTGAACAACTCACTTTAGTGTCTTGAAGGCTACTCTTTCCTTTTGTCAAGTGGATTTTTTTATATCAAAAGCGAGAAAAATTATAAAGTGAAGTGTACAAGATTTGAACTTAAGATCTTGAGTTTGGAAAACAACACCCTTACCACTTGATCAACAAACACTACTTATATTTCTAATTCAAAATTAAAATTTATATTTTACAAATTTAATAGCATTCCCATCGGGTGGGCTTATACCCCTAGTATATATATGTGTGTGTGTATGCAAAATATATGATTTAACAGAGGAAAAAATAGTGAAATGGAAAATGAAGGAAAATTACAGGGAAAAATGATGGGAAAATTGATGGAAATGAACGAACCTTTGGTACTAGACCTTGAGTTGTAGTAATGGTGAGAGTGATTGAAGAAAATGATTGTAACAGAGTGTTTCCTCCAATCTTCAGGGCTTTATTTTATAGCTATCTTTCTCTCGCTCTCTCTCTCTCGTATTTATATATGTATTTGTTTGTATTATGTAGATTATGTACAACTAGAAGCAGATTGGGATTTGCTATTGGTTGTTTTTAAATTTCCTCAAATTCTTATGGTTGTGATATTTGCTGTTTGGGACTCAAGAAAACAGGGTTTCTTTGGAAATTTGTTCATAATTTTTAAGCTTTTATCGAATTTGGTTACTGGTACTTGAAATTTGTGGTGTTGAAGTGATTGAACTCTATTTGGTAGTTGAGAAAACAAAGGAAAAGATAAGGGATCTTATGCTTTATGCTGTCGTTGAAAAGAAAATCTGAAAAAACCCACTAACCAAATAGTTTCATTAGGCTCAGTAGAGTAGAAGCACTTTTTTGGGTTCCAAAGTAATTGGAAATTTTGTGATACAAAAATTGATTTCTGTGTTTTTTGTCAACTTTTCTCAGTAAACAAACAGGGAAGAAGTGAACAGAGGAAAATAGATTCCCTTAATAATAAACAAATGGATTTTGGTCCAAATTGAAGTTGCAAAACTCTTTTAAGCTTTCTTGCAACTCTTGAACTTGGCCTTTATATGATTTTTTTTTTCTTCTTTAATTTCCTTAAATTGTGGCAAGTAAATTTAAATGGTTGGAAATGTTGGGGATTGAGGATTCCGCCCAAGACCTTGCAGAAAATATACCAAGCAGTAAAACACACCCACACCCAAGGAGACACAGCATTTAACGTGGTTTGGCCTCAATGCCTACGTCCATGGGAGAGTAACCGGTTATCACTATAACAATGGAGATATTATAGAAAGATTACAATAGAGGAGGAGCTCACACTATTCGAGCTCACTCACTCACCCGTCTCCCTCTCTCATACCTTGAGAGACGGTCTCTCTGCCTTACATCTCTTCTTCTTTAGTTTGTTCTATCACAGTTTTGCTTTCTCTCTCTCTCTCTCAACCTCTCCTTCTCACCTTAATTTATACATAATTGAGGGAGAGGAGTTTAATCACAATTGAAGAAGAGGAGTCAAGACTTGGTTAGTGGGGAGGTGCCACCCCCACTCTCTCTAAAGTGCTCTCCAACCACCTCACTCTCTCTAAAGTGGGTTAGCCACTCGCATGGGATGATGAATATATCTAACAAATCACCCCCTCAACCCATGTGAGGTGATCTAGTGCACACACTACTGCTAATCTTGTCACGCCCAAATTTCAACATAGTTTGCATCTCCTCACTGAGACGTTTGCATCCCCTGAAGCTAGAGATAACACACTAGAGATACAAGAGGAGGAGGGAATCCTACATCCTCAACTCAACTCACACTACTTTCTGATTTAGAGAGAGAGCCTTTGCTCCTATCTCCCACAGATCTCTTCCACGCTTCCTGTCTTGGATGCCTTCACTTGCTATGCTTGAACTTGTGTAACCAAGATATCCAACACCCCCTGATTGGATGTCCTGCACCTCTTGCTGAGATGCCCTTGACTGTTATGCATTACCTCGCAGGACCAGTCATTGGAGCAATAGAAAACTCGTCGTTTATCCCATCAGCGTCCTCGATTTTCTTTGCTCAGAGCTCTTCCTCTGAACTATCAGCCTTTGCCCTTTGCACTTCTGAACAACCTCCTAGTGTTCCCATACGCTCGTCGTCTATGCCTTTGCAATCCCTGATTTGTTGTTCAGTAGATTGATGGTTGACAGTAGCTCTATCTGTCAAAGCATCGTCAGCTATGCAATTTTGTATAGTGCTCGCACCCATGGCTTCTGGTCTCCCTGCGTCGAGCTCGCTTGAGAGATCCGCATCAACTCTATCCTCCGCTGCCATGGAACTAAAGAAACCACCATAGAGAAAAAGACTTGCCACTCCTTGGCGCGCACTCTTGTGTTTTATTCATCTTAATTTCTCTGTCTGGCAGTTCCTGTGAACTTTTTACAACCCATTGCTACACACTCTTCTCGCGCCTCTGTATGACACTCTAGTGTACCCTTGCACTGCTACACATCTGCATTTTGCTTCTGCGCTTAGTATGCTCCTCTGCAACTATTATTCTATATGTCCACATATCAGTAGTACCTACTCGTATACAGTAGGTCCAACAGCCACAGTATTTTCTTGAGCCTGTACTTGTTGCCAAATCATCTATACATCGATGAATGGTCTTCTCTTTTGATTGAACCAGATTTTCCGATGAACTTCGGAGATAATCATTTCTGTAATCCTCTGATCGCCCTTAACCAATCCTGATCTCCCCTAACCAATCTTGATCTCCCTCGATTTGTCATTTGATCAAGCCTGATCTCCTTTGGTCTCCAATGATCTATCTCTCAATTTGTATTTGGTTGTCCAATTTGGTTAGAATCTGCATATTCTTACTTCTTCAGTGAATCCGTAGTGTTCCACAATATCCGACAACCTTCCTTCGACTATTGAAGATGACAAACTCCCATGTTTTGAAAATCTTCAAAAAATCGTCTAGAATTTCACTATTCTGACCTCGCGGTTGCTTCCGAAACGATTCCTTTAGCTAGAACCAACCTTCGCTGCACTTCTAGGGACCTTATTGAAAAATTTCCCCAAAACCTGGGCCAAAATTGCAAATTTCCCAAACACCCGGGGCTGAACTGTAATTTCACAAACTACAAGGCCAAAATAACAATTTACAAAAATTCAGGGACCAAATTGTAATTTTTGAAAACATTGAGGACCAGATTGCAATTTAACAAGCTTCCAAGGCCAGTATGAAATTTTAGAAAAATTCTGGGCCATTTTGTAATTTTCAGAATTTGTCAGAGAATATTCCGTTATTACCAGGAATATTCCATTTGCCGAAGTCAGCCTCTCGTCATGCTGATGTCATCACCTGGGCCTTTCTGCTGATGTCACTCTTGCATCAACACTGTGTCATCCTCCACTTTTTTTTTTTTAAAAAAAAAAATTACCCATCTTTGGTTGCCCCAAGTTTCGAACACATGACCTTCAAGCAATATGCTTCACCCAATGTGCCATGGGAGTCCTTGTGTTAAATGGCTTCTAAAATATTTTATTTGAACCATCTTAACATCTTCTTCTTCACCACTCCTCCATCAACCGAACTGAACTTTTCGGCGAGATGTGGCAAACTCCGTCGAAACTTTAGGTCGCATGTGGTAGCGCGTGACTTCTCATTTTGGGCTGGTGTTTTTGGGTTTAGATTCCAATCGTCAAGACGCATTGCCTGGTATGCTCAAAACTCGATTTTGAGCAAGTTGATTTCTGGGCTATTTCAAAAAACACACTGTTTTTCTTCACCCGAGCTCTGATACCACTTGTTGGGGATCGGAGATCCCACCTAAGACCTTGCATAAAATATACCAAGCAGTAAAACACAGCCACACCTAGGGAGACACAATATTTAACGTGATTCGGCCTTAATGCCTACATCCACGGGAGAGTAACTAGTTATCACTATAACAATGAGAAGGAACTCACACTATCCCCACTCACCCACTCACCCGTCTCCCTCTCTCACACCGAAAGAGACAGTCTCTCTGCCTCACATCTCTTCTTCTTTGGTTTGTTCTCTTACAATTTTGCTCTCTCTCTCTCTCTCAACCTCTCCTCCTCACCTCAATTTATACACAATTGAGGGAGAGGAATTTAATCACAATTGAAGAAGAGGAGTCAAGACTTGGTTAGTGGGGAGGTGCCACCCCCACTCTCTCTAAAGTGGGTTAGCTACTCACATGGAATGATGAATATATCCAACAGGAAGTTTGTTCACTTATCTACTTAGCTATGGCCTTTATTCAGCTTGTATACAAGAAGAGGTCAACAAGGCCTAGGAAAAAATGAAAACTACGCAAAAATTGTGGGCAAAGACCCCACTCTGGAAGCGAGCAGAGCTCCTTCACAAGGTTGTTGCTATTCTCAAATAGCACAAAGCCCCCATTGCCGAGTGTCCAGTATATATATATAAATATATATATTATTTGGAGCAAAGGGAGTTAAAAGGGCAAAGAAAAAGAAAAAGGATTTTGTTCCTGTGACGAATTGTTTTATTCTTAATCAAAAAGAGTTTCAATCAACTGATGAGTAGGCATAAGACAGACAATAGAAGACCAGAGGAGAGAAGATAAAAGCTATACCTGGATGTCGGAGGGAGAACCAGTGAGGAAGTCGTCATTGCTACTGCTACAGACAGTCTGTGCGGTAATACGAGAGCGAGAGAGAGATTGTGAGGGTCTGCGCAAGTAAGAGCGAAAGGAAAGAAGTGAAGAAGAGAGGAGATGTGGGTTACCTAGACGCTGCCCAAGATGCTATTATTGCTACTGTTGTTGCTGCTGCTGCGAGAGAGAGAGCAGTGAGATTAGGATAGAATATTGAAGGTTTTTATTTATTTATTTATTTATTTATAGTTTTTATTCTAATAAAAAATAGCATCATCATGCATGTATTCTCTTCTTTTGTTTATTTTATTTATTTATTTATTTATAGTTTTTATTCTAAGAGAAAATAGAGAGTTTGGGTAAAGAGGAAAAGAGGGAG